GTTTTACCGTATGCTAGTTCAGAATTGTAAATTTTTTAATGAAATTGGCTATTTCACTGATCGGTATAATTTTATAATAAAATAGTGGAAAACTGGGTCCCACAATATTAGAGTAAAATTTTTTTTTTTATCAAACAAATTGTCTTTTTCCAGCGATAATCTTCCCACTACGTATAGGTGGGAACATTTACTCCATTTTACTCCACTGTTTGTTATTTTATTAGAGCATCTGCATTGGAGACATTTTGTATGTGTTTTTAAATATAAAATTATTAAAAGTTGAATAAAATGAAGAAAGAGAGTGTTTTTGGTTGAAACAATGGGGTGTATTGAAATATAAAATTAAGAAAATTTGAGTAAAGAGATGAGATAGTGGGTATTATTGGAGAGAGGGGGTATTATTGGAGAGAGGGTGTCTCGGAGAAGACAAAGTTGGAGAGAAAATTGATGAAAATTGGAGTGTGTTTAAATATAAAATTAATAAAAGTTGAATAAAAGGAAGAAAGAGAAGGTATAAAATTGAGTAAAAGGAAGAGAGAGTGTGTTTTTAATATTTTTTTATTTAGAGACATCCACATTTGGTCTCTAATGTGGATGGTCTTAGTGTATAACATTCGCAGCCATACCAATGACTAAAAAGTCATAAAATATTACATTATAATTTGCATAAAACGAAAGTAATGTTAAATACTGTAGAAGACGAAGTGGATCCAATGAGATGGCCGACGAAGAACAACATAAGAACGGCAATGCATTGGCTAGTTTTAGGCTGCAAAGCTGGAGATTCCCTCGTCTTCCACTTCTCCGGTCATGGCAACAACCAGACGAATTACACTGGCGACGAGATTGACGGATTTGATGAAACCCTTCTCCCGGTGGACCACTTAACCTCAGGTGTTATTGTGGACGACGAGATCAATGCTACAATCGTACGACCTCTCCCTTATGGAGTCAAGCTCCATGCAATTATCGACGCTTGTAGTAGTGGTACCGTCTTGGACTTGCCCTATCTTTGTAAAATGGACAGGTACGATACTATAAGCTTCAATTATTTAAATTATTTAATTATCTCGTATTTATTTTAAAATCTAAAAAAAGAAAATATTTTCTTGTAAAAATAATATCGCAAATTGTAGATTCAGACACAAAACAAACTCCTGTTTTTTTTTTTTTTAATTTATAAAAGAAGATTTATCTTGTACGAAAGAATGTTAATTACCACATGCATTATATCACAAGGTTAATAAACAATGGAGTTTCTAATATAGGCTACCAATCCTATAACCTATGAATTAACACAAATACTTAGATGTTAATTTATGGTTAATAT